TGAAATGTGTTTGTCTTGACTTAAGGAATAACGCTATATACAAGTGTCCAGAGAGTTACGGGACACCCTGTATATATTCCCATCGACTAAGGGACTAACAATCACTACTCATAACCTCTAAGAGGTTATGTTTTTTGTTCATTTCCAAATATAATTAGCCAGTTGGTGTCAGGAAAAGCTCATTACAGTACAGTAGTACGTAATGAAACCCCATTTGATTCAGCTGGTGGCAAACAGCTGTTTTCTGGACTAAATCATTGCATGGGAAGTTCATTAAAACAGTGTAGTGTGTCTTAATAGTATATTGTATATTACATCCTGAAAATAGGTGTTTACCGGACGAGTGTGGTTGTTCCCGCTCTCGACATTGTTGCTAATTGGTAAGGTTGGTACTCATGATTTTTAGGGCCCAAACAATTTTTTAAATGTAGGCCTACTGTACAATGTTTTTTATCGGAATATAGCATTGTCGCTGGATAACCGATATCATCAAAATATATTGCATTGTTAAAACTGACTACTTATTTACTCTGATTCGTATTCCTTGACCCTAACGAGTTATTTTTACCCGTGAGTCTGTGCCATGAGTTTGATATGTACCTATTGTATTGTAAGATATAAGTGATTGTAGGAAAAACGTTTCTCTACACAGATTGCCAATTGTTTTCAGACATCATATTATCTCATCACATTACTGGTATTTGATCAGTGGTGTTTGCCGTAAAGCTTTGAAGAAAACATGTCCAATATCATAGAAAACAGTGATTTTAATAGTTTTGTATAGAAAAATCATTTAATAAGTATAAACTGACAACTAAATTTAATAAATTACAACCACTTTTGAGAATTTAGAAAACATAGTTTACGAAAAGTAAGAAGTTATTTAAACATAGTTTTATCAACAGCGGAACCATAGTTTTGTATAGGTTGATGAGTTTCTCTTTAGCGATTACCACGTAAGGTTAGAAATTTAAGGTCAATCACACTCTCGTAACTACACGCAAGTGAACTGATCTGAGTGACCGAACACATTCGGAATATTATTTATATTGAACACTATTCCCTATTGAAACAGGTAATAATAATTATAACCACAACACCTTTTGGCCTTAATATTTGGTACTAAAGTCAAAGTCTCTACTGCTTATGTTTAGGAATTATTTTTGTAAATAAAAGGATACAATGTCAAGCTCTCCATTGAAAAGGTAAATCCCAATATAAATTATCAGGTTGTTAAAACTTTTACCTACGACGGTTTTTTTATAGTAGCCGTTTCAGTTCATTCTTAGAATTGAAAAAGTTTCTTATAACAGCATTTTTTACTTTCATAAAAGCATAGTTTTTCATAACAACACAGGTAACGGACCAAAGAGGTTCAAGGATTGAGAGAGAAAAGGTAAAATTGTATGCTTCGAACGTCGACTAATCTGTTTAGAGTCAACTAAGCTCAACTGTGGTGCAATTAGTGTTTGGATTATCACTGTCAGTGGCATTGGCATTGAGGTTATAAATGAAAACATAAACTCTCTAAAGCCTGTGTCACACTTGGCTACTTACTAGCAGCTACCTAGTAGCAGCTACTGAAATAGCAGCTACTTTTCCTGTCACACTTATTTTGGTAGCGTCTATTCACTAGCTGCTACTACTAGTTTAGCTCAAGAGAGGTTATGTCCCAAAGACACGGATATTTTCTATACAGGTTCAAAAAATTAATCACATCTCCCCCACCCCACTTCGGATCACTCATGATTACTTCAGAAATTATTCAAAATGAACTAGTATAAACAAATCAGGCAGACAGCACATGGTGCAAGTAGCCGCTAGTCTGCTATTGAAGCTGTCACACTGGGCGACAGTCGCTACTTGATAGCTGCTAGTTGGTCACGTGACTCACTAGCGCAGTTTAGTAGCACGGAAAGTTGGACATGTTCAACTTTCCATGCTAGTAAAATTTCACTAGCGCGCTACTCTTAGTAGCTGCTACTGCCTATGTCACATTGGCTACTTAGTAGCTGCTATTTCGCTAGCTGCTAGTAAAGTAGCGTAGTGTGACACAGGCTTTAGAAGTCGTGAGTAGTGATTGTTAGTTATTCATTAGTAATAAAAAAAACTGTGGTAGGTAAAGTAGTGTATGCAACTCGTGTAAATACGCGTAAAGGCTCGTAACTTAAATTTTCTACTCGTGGCGTAAGCACTTTCTTTACGCAATCGTTGTTTAAACTACTGTAAATTTACTGAACCAACAACATAAGTTACATAGAGAAAACGAGACTACTATCAAGTAAAAAAGTATAGATAGGTACTCAAGTTTGAGCTTTTGTTGCAAGTAACCAATAGACTTAATAAATACAAGTTACATCATGTTTTAAAAAATATATTTCTGCGTTTATGTGTGTTGGTTTAAACATTTTTATGCAGTTTCAACTCAGCCTTTCAGCGGGTTGAATGAAAAAAGTACAGGTTTTTCAGTAGGCCTACTTTTTTGACAACGGGCAACTTAAACATTTTATATAAAAAAAAAACTACTGATTTCAACAGCTTTTAGAACATAGGCTACCTATTAAGTATATTTATAAGTTTAAGAATTTTTCTTTGATTAAAAATAATTCTGTTATGGTTTTTGTAAAGGCTTTTTATTTCAGAGGTGGAACAAGTATGGAAATACGATGAAAGCTTAAATTAAAGCTCTTAAAAAGTTTTCACGTAGCATGTGAACGTCAAACGTCACACAGAGCCAGTCGCAATAATGTATGTGTAAAAACCCATAAAACTATAGCTCTGTCTAAAATAAAACTAGAGCTCAGCTGGTTGATTTAAATTATAAACCATGGAACAATGGAAGTGGGCTATGCTCCCTTTGTAATTAAAATACCATTAACTCGTATTTTAACGCTATAGTAGGTGAAACTATAGTCATTATAAAAGACGACTTGGATTGAGGACGTAAACAAGGTATTTAACCTATTATTATTATTAAAATACCCTCGCCGCAGCAAACCTGCCAACTAAGCGAATTTCCATTTGTCCTAATTGATTTTCAATTAATATGTTTAAATTATAAAATGATTCTCTACAAAACAAATATTTACGTATTATATCTTATTATTATATTTCTTTATGAATAACGTAAATGTAATATTGTTTAGTAATTAATGTTAATGCTATTGCAAGCATTACAGTAAAACATCAGTGATAGTTTTTTTTCCATTGTAAATGGTTTTAAAAGTTTAGCTTAAATAGTTTGTGAGGGTTTGCATTTTTAAGTAGCTGAGACTTACGACCTAACTTTAAATTTTAAGTTTGTGTATAATTTGTTTGATTAACAAACGATAATTGTTAAAACTATACTCGTACAGTATCACTATTGTATCACATAATTTCATTTAGAGCCTCTGTTGCTAGATTAAAAAATGTTATGTGTTGAACAAAAGTAAACAGGTTTCTTGCAACATTTCTTAGCAGCAGTCCATACTTTATTCACCTTTAAAACTCTACTTGTAAAACCTTAAAAAAATTGAACAATTTCTTGGCGATAACAGGTCTTTTAAAATCTGTAAATTTGAGCAAATGCTAATATATTGACGATTTGATAAGCTATTTACCATGTATAAAACAAACATATATGGCTTTATAAATGAGTACTTTATGTATGTCAGGTCAAAACAAAAACATCAAAACTTAAAATACAAATAAACTCAAAATGTACGCATACAATTATTTTTTTATTTTGAATAAAGATCGAACAAGTAGTATATTAATGTTCTTAACTTAGGACATAATGAAGTGTCATGTAGAGAGATTAGTGAATACAATATTTATTTCCAGTTATCGTCTTGTTAATCAGCAAAAACATGCTAGATGTTTCTACCGATAATCACCAGCACTGACGGGGGAGAGGGGGAGTGACGTGTTTAGACAACACATCAAGCAACGTTCTCGGTCTCTGCTACGGCTAAGGCAACGGCACTGCGCTGCACCGAGGACGCTCACGATACCTTGCGAGTAAAAATGTAACTATTTCCTCCCTACCCGCACGTCCCTCAGCCGCAGCGGCCTCAGCCAGATATCTGTAGTAGGGTTCTATTATCTGTGACGGGAGGCATTGGGCTCATGGTAATTGACCACATCTTATCTAACTATAATGGAAACCTCAGGAGCGATGTCATAAAATCTTGTCTGTCCGACCACTATGCTCAATCAATTTTGATCAACACTAACTTGCCTACTGACTGTTCAGGAGGGAAATTCATGTATGGTAGGAGATAGGAAGTGAGGCTTCCACGGTCACAATTGTTAACACAAAGTCCTTGGTCTTCTGGGTACGACCGCGTCGGAAAACTAGGAGAAACCCTAGTTGCTGACGTTTCGGCTTCGTTGCAGATAGCCATCTTCAGAGCTGGTGAAGGCACTAACTGGTGCACGATGGTTACGCAGTCGTCTCGCCTATATAACCTTCGTCCTTGCAAGCTTGCACCAGTTAGTGCCTGTCACCAGCTCTGAAGATGGCTATCTGCAACGAAGCCGAAACATCAGCAACTAGTGTTTCTCCTAGTTTTCCAAAGTACCCAGAAGACCAAGGACTTTATGTTAGTATGTAAGGAGCTTTAATTCCACCAATATCACAGCCTTCAAATGCTGCCCCCAGCTGAGAACTGGAGTGATCTGTAGGAGGCTGAGAATATTGAAAGAAAGTTCAACGTTTTCAAGAGTAGGCCTACTCTTTGTTATCAATTTGATGTTTCATTTCCTAAAAGAATTTAAAAACTCAATTCAAAATACAAAAGACAAAGTTTATTTTCAGAAAAACTTTTAAAGCTATAAGAACAATGTCTTTTATACTATGAAAAGACAAAGCACCCCAACTCTGATAATGTTCTAAGACAATACTATCTAAGATAAAAAAATGAATCTAGGAAACTAATTAGAGATTTAAAAACAAAAATGGTGAGTTCAAGGGTTAGCCAATTCTGCGAACCCATTATTAGTTTTAAAAACATTACCTTTTTTAACTTGCTCATCCTGGTCGCCTAACTCCTTTTCAAGGACCTCAATCTGACGTGACTGCTTTTCTTTTACCTACAAAAAATTACAAACTTCAAACAAATTTATATTGAAATATAGTGTAGGCTATAATAAAGTAAAAGTTTTACATGTTATTTCATTAATATTTTTAGATGTAAACGAGAGCTCGCCCCGTGATCGAAAACTCAATCAAAAGTATGTATTGTTCAAATTTCTCTATTTTCACCCCACGCTTTAAATAAAACATGTGATTGGAATTTCTTCCATTTGTTTAATTTTTCTGTTTATATGTTGTTGTTGAGTTACAGCGTGTTACAACTAAGGAAAAATAACTTGCGGTGTACACTCTGCATCATGTAGCTCTTAAACGAGTACGTTTTGAGAGCAAAAATGCAAAGAGTAAAAAAGTCTTAAAATTGCATCTAGATTCTAAAAAGACCATAACATACACGGTTTTCCTATTTGCAAATCTTCCTGCCATTTTGGAAAATGGTGGCCATTTTTTAAACAATGGAATCAATATTTGCCATGTATGTCATGTTTTTTAGAATCTAGATGCAATTTTAAGTCTTTTTTACTCCTAGCATTTTAGCTCTAAACATACTCGTTTAGGAGCTACATGATGCAGAATGTACACGGCAAGTCATTTTTTCTTAGTTATAAAACGCTCCCTAACCAGTAGCTTCAGAGAAAATTTGCTATAAATCAAAGGTTTCGTGCTACAACAGTTGAAAAATCTTCAAATGAATCAATTGTTGGCTCTTTGGATTGATGTTGAAACTGGTTTATGAATGAAGATTTTCTTTTATCCACATGATAAGGATAAGATTTAGGATTTGTTGTGTTAGGATTGTCTTGCTTTGATGATTCTAGATGTAATAAAGTGTGATGGCGACGCTTGCATATTCTACAAGATCCAATTAATTGAAGCACAGTTTCTGACTGTATGATTGCTACTCAAACAGTTGTTACATAGTGATTTGTTTTTAACAGCTGTCAATCGTTTGTCAGGAGTAAGTAAGCCTGCTGATCCATATTTGTGGAAAAAAGAACAGTTTTAGTCTGTGAAGTTGTCAACTGTGAGTTATGGGATTGATTTGACTTAGGATTTAATTTTGAGTAACCAGAGAAACTTTTGGCAATTGTGTGGGCTAAGTTTGCTGCCTCTAACTCAGTGCATTCCTTTTCAATTAAAACAAGAAGTTCTTTAATTGTAGGTGGTGTTTGTAAGTCTGTTCGGCTATGCTCAAATTTCTTCCCAAAGTCATAATCAAATTTACGTAGAAGATTAATCGTTGATATAAGACTTTCAGACAAGATGTCATGGTTTAAGGCACAAAGGGCATTAGCATTTTCTTGGAACGTTGACACAAATGTTCGGAGTTGCTTAACAGAACAACCGTGCATTGAGGGAAGATCTAAAATGTTGTTGACATGTAGGGTAATTAGCAACCTTGAATTATTGTAACGTTGATGGAGTTGCTCCCAAGCAATGTGATAGTTGGCTGTGGTAACTGGTAACCCCTTGATTAGATTTAGAGGTTCACCACTGAGACATGACAATAAATAGGTGAATTTTTCTACATCGGTAATGTTTGAGTTCTTATGTACGGAATTTTCAAATAAGATACAAAAGGAAATCCATTTTTCGGGTTGACCAGAAAAGGTACCAAGATCAATTCGAGGGAGACGAAGACCAGAAGTGGCTATTTCAGAAGTAGTGTTACTTGTTTGGGATTGTTCTAAATTGGGGTTATTGACCGGAGCAAGTACAGTACATACACTGTGAATTCTCAAAAATAAATCATTGATTTCATCTTGCAATTGGATGACTTGATCGTCATCGATGTCTTCAGATATGGGGTCTGAATTAAAAAGTCTAGTTATGGTAGACTCAAACTCGGTATTTTTCCTAGTAGCGGTTTCTTTGATAGCCCTAATTTTTTCAATTTGAACTTGGGTTAATTCTTCAGAACCAATTACTTGAAGCGCATTAACTTGAGATTCCAGCTGAGTTAAACGAGCTTTTGTGAGTTTGGCTTGTTTGGTAAATGTAGAATACCTGATTGAAGTCATAATGTATGTTGAGAATAAAGAATATCTTTGTGTAATTGTTTGTAAAAATTCAAGTAGCCTAACTTATTTTAAAATGAAAACAAGTAGACCTATACTGACATGAATTCAAGTTAATTATTCTTCAGTGGAATATGGCATAACAATGAGAAGGTAGGTCTATCAGTTTAAGTAACATAAACATGTACAAAGGTAGCCTAGTAGAAAAAAGAAAGAAAGAATACTTTGAAGTAAAGAATTACCGAAAAGAATGAACACAATAAACTACCTAAAATGAGGTCAAAAAGTTGTTAACAATAAAATAAATCCAAGCAGATAGTATAGCCTACCAATAGAATCAATTAACTAGGCCTAAACTTAATATTGTAATAATGACAATTAATTGAGCCTAGCCTATTTGTCTATTAAAAAAGGATGCAAGCAGTTTATTTTTGTTTGAACAATATTGGTTCAGTTGAGAATATGTGCATACTGGCACAGTTTAGCTGAAAATGTGCATACTGGCACCATTTAGTTGAAAATGTGCATTACTGGCACAGTTAACATTAATGTTTGTTTTCACACTGGAAATTACACAGTTCATATGATAGGCTATTGACTTCAATTAGTTCATGCAACAGGGGCACATTCACAAATTGAGATGTAGTTTAAATGGTGAAGATTAGACTATAGGTCTTTTTGAAAGTATTGCTTGAATGTTCTTAGAAACACTTTTAAACACAAGTTAAATCCATGGACCAGAAACAAGATCCGGCTTGAAGGACCAATTTATAATGTCATGAAATTTTGATAATTTGTTGTTTGAAAAATGAATTAATTTAGTGACTTAAATAGATATAAGAAAAATAGTTATAGTTTTTGAACAAGTGGACTGTATTTTGTTTAATTTACATTATGAATCACTTACTATTTTTTGTCAATTCTTCTTTTTAGTTAAATACAATAATGTTGTAGTGATTTTCTTGAATTTAATTTACACTTTCTTCATACATGTCTTCTCAGTTCATTCTGTCTTCTCTGTAGATCTTAATCACAGTCACATGTTTTGTTTTTAATATTTTATTGTTGTACATTTAATTTTGAGTACGGTAGTTAAACTGCTTGCATTTACAGTGTTGCCAATTTTAATAATGAAATATTCTTTTAGATTCAATGTGATATAATATAATAACATATGATAATTAGTAATATTGAAATGAATTGTAATTGACTTATTTGGAATAATTTAAATATGAATGAATTAAAGAAAACTAATAAATACTTAACAACAACTATACCATTATATAGTCCGGTTCATATCCAAAATAAAGTAAAAATTACATTAAAGTAGTTAATAACGTTCATTTTCATGAGCCTACATTGATACATAAACCTAAATCTATGCAATGTTAAAATGCATAAAAAACTTGGCCATTTAATTATCATACAAATGATATGCTATGCAATACGCAATACTATTATTATAGACACCAATGAGAAATTACTAATAATCTGCAACAAAACACGGTCTACAGACAGAGTTTGCTTTAACAGTGTTCTTACCGAAGAATTTACAGATGTCATATTTTCTAAAATAACTTATACCAATTCACAAATAATACAACTAACTTAGGCCTAAATGAAATAACTTATCTTCTTACATAAATTGTTGTAACTGAATGTGTTTTAAATGCTATATTTTAATAAAATAAAATAAAACAATACATGAAATATTTATTAATAGCCACTAGGCCTACCTACAATGAAACTAGAGGTTAAGTCAATAAAACCCTAACACAACCCCTATACCCTAATTTATACTCCTAAAATAACAGTATTTAAAATCAAAATGTTTACTAATGTTTATATTAAGAAAAGGAAGGTTTAAAAATGTAATTAGCCTACCTTACAAATTTGGGACCGTGGAGGCCAAGGAACCGTCCCTCCCCTTCCAATACACGTCCCAAGTGGTTTGTAATGTACTCTCGTACATTACATTTCATTAATTAAATTAAAGTAATTTTTACTTTATTTTGAATATGAACCGGACTTTTATAATTGTTGCATAAAACCTTTGATTTATAGCTAATTTAATATTCTTTCAAATTATTTTAACTATAACTCTTTAAAGTAATTGGATATGTTTTTATTACATAAATTGTGGGGCGAAGTCTAATAAAATAAGAAAAACATCAAACATGCTATTACAGCCAAACGGTTGAAATCGGACATGGGTTAACAGGATTTTTTTTGTTCCTTTTAGTGAGTAGAACCTACTGGCAAAGTTGCTCAGTAGAAACTCACCCTGTGTATTCACAGTATTTGAAGGACATCTTCTAATGGCTTGGATTCCAATAAGTTAGTACTAGGTGTGCAGCGAGATAGAGTATAATAAACAAATAATTATTTAGGGTATACAGCGTCCTATCAATATAAAATTCAAGGACAATTCCAGGTTTTCCAGGCTCCAGGTTTTTATTAAAAATAAAACATATTGAAACAACGAATTGAAAACCAAAACAATATTTTTATAGAAAATGTATTTTTCTACATTTAAAGTGGAGTCAATAATCAATATTTTCATAGCCCAGTAACAAAGCTAACTTATTCTTAAAAAAAAATACACAAATACCATTAGCTGCATCCAAAACAAAACAGCTGTTACAACCCTACTTGCCACTTCGAAGGCCGCGGCCTGGAGTTAAAGGTGGCCGTGGTTCAAACAAATAGGTACTCTCAAATACATATATATTTTACTTTATTAAATACTACTTACATTTATTAATTCCATTATCCTTTTGTTCATTCTGGTTTCATTTTCCGATTTTTCCGCGACCACTCTCTCCAGCTTCAACTCCCTCAAAAAAAGGAGATTTCTTGTTTCATGAAGCTTTGTTCTCATTTCTTTAAATTGTCGCTGCCGCTCTTCCTCCATTTTTTAGTCTATAAATCTTTTGATAGACCTAAAATAAATAAAGAGCATTGAAGCTTTGCAGAGAAAATATATATTTGAGGTTGTATTTTGACAAGAAAAAAGGCTATAAATTGTGGTAGGCCTAATAGTAATATCAGTCTGCTACCAACCCCGCGCCGCGCCGGACCAAATCAGTATCAAGATAGTGCTATCTAAATGTTTATTGTGTATTCGTACCATTTTCATGTTTTTTGTGTTCGTCCATGTTTTAAATGTGTTTTTGACAAGTTGCAAGCTTTGAAAATGTTGTCTTCGCAATGAAACATGTAAGCTGATGAGGAATATTAATCGTTGGACTATTTGACGAAGGTATATAAAAAACCAATTATTGTAGTAATATCCTAATATGTGTAGTAATATGGTAAAAATATCCATTACCAAGCATATCCAGCACTTCATATCTTTGACTATTGATAGAAAGTTGGTGTTTTAAATGATTCCCATTGGTCCCCTGTCAATATTATGTTACAAACGGCATTTTATTGCACACAGTACCTTCTTTGAATAAGGTTATAAGAAAAAAATCCCATATCTGAGATATGAATTCAAGTTATTTTTCTTTTTATTTAAAAATACCGGTAGGTAAGTTACTTTTAACTCAAAGTAACGTTAAATTGCCTAAACAAACAACTCAAAAAACGAAAAGTACTGTTTGTCATTGTTTATTGTGTGCTTAACACATTAAAGACATGTTATAGTGAACTCATGGTATTTATTTCATTATATTACAACGTTATACTGGTGACACGACTGTGTGAAAAGTCTAACAGCAAACAGCGTCAAGTACAAACTTGAGTTTACTTGAGCATAAACCAAGTTAAAAAATTTCAACAGTGACTACGTTTTCAATTTTTATAAACAGTAAAATGCTCAAACAAACCACAGAAGGTTGAGGATAAAATGATTTAGGCCAAGTTATCTCACCATTGCAGGAGTGGACCTATTGTTTGATAGTTCCTTCTCTTTGTGGAATCTATGATAGGTAAAGTACTTCCGAGGCCTGTCAATACAAAAGTAGTTATTCAAAAGCTATAGATAAGATCTGGCTGTTTTGAAACACGCTGCTAAAACTACAGCACATTGCTCATCAGGCATTTAAATAACTTTAAGATAGCCTAGTTGACTTACAGATGGCAGCCATGTTCCATAGTAATGATACTGTCCAGGCTGGTGTGTGATGTCATGCGCACGTTTTAAAGACAACCATCTTTTAATATCCTTGGGCCTAAGTTATGTAGACTAATTACACTAGGTACAATTTCAAACTGGCATGTATTCTTGGAATTGACAATAGTTAGTTAATACTTTAGACTTACTCTAGCCTACTTTTATAAAATTACTTGGTAATTTAGAAAATATTTCCTGTGAAATAGACTCGAGACGTGATTCCTAATTTCAAATCAACTAATGAATAAGTTGTTATTTAATTATTGTGTCCGAATTATAAGTGATGGTTGCTTTGAAAATAATTAATTATATACAAAAAAATTAAGCTATTGAATCTTCATGGAAAGTTAATTTTGATCATTATATTAATAAAACAATGTGGTTGCTGTGACTGGGATACACATAAAAAATGTTTTGGGACATACGGTAACGATGATTTACTTTTTGATTTGAAATCACTTAACATATAAATATAGACCCGCCTTATGGGTTTCAAGGTAGGGACCAGAATTAAATACTCTCGAGATGACGAGATAAACCTTCATAGACTAATGTTTTGACCCATTTCAATTATAATTAAAAGCTAATTAATTGTATTGCTTAATATTCATTAATGCCACCAGATAAGTTGACCACGTGCAAACAGTTGAAAACTGTTTTCAACAACAAACTACCTATATTAGAAAACCAGTTACAATTTTACCATAGAAAATTCTGTTTTTCTACTGCAGTTTTTAAACGGTAAGAGATAGAAAGAAAATTTAAAACCGGTACGTAAAATGTTTGTTTAAAAGGACCTTTCACGTGGTATGAAATTTGTTATACCTTGCTATTTAAGAATTTTGATTTATCAGATTTCTTTTATTCTTCAAATTTGAGATTTGTTTAAATTAGAAAATAACATTAAAAATGCCCTTACTACAAGTTATCTTAAAGAGTAGCTCAAGAATAACCTTGAAAAGAAATTTGGCGCTGTTCCGTTCAGTAGTTAGGGTAATACGAACTGTACTTAACTTCACAAAGTCCTTTTTTTAAACGTTTTGACCCAACCTGTAAATATGGTTAAAGATAATTAAATTTTTTGCACCAAAATGATTGGGGTGATTAGACCTTTAAATTTATGTATCACACAACCGATGTTTACATTTGAAAATTTCTCAAAAAGCACCCCTACCCCCCAAATTGGGCCCTTTTAGGGCATTTTTCAAAATTGAAAATAATTTTATTGAATTTGGCATGTCCAAATTAGGGGAAATGAGAAGAAACAAGTGTAAAAAGCCTTACTTATGAACAGAACAGATATGAAAAGTTTTCAAATGAACACCTTAATTAATAAATGAACACGAAGTTTGTCGGTTGAACTCCTCCGCTATTTCTTAACCGATTTTATCCATTGACGTCTCATTGGAAAGAGCGTGTCGTGTAGATTTGCAAACTGGCCTAACATTGTTGAAAAAAAGTCCCTTGGGCTCTGCCCCAGTGGCTTTGAAAGTTCCCATGTTATCCTTATGAAGAACATAATTGTTTACATTTTGATCAGCTGTATAATTTAATTGATGGTATTTATTTTTCAATTCAACAAAACGCATTGGGTAAATTTACTGATTTTGTTGAAATTAAATATTTAATACTTTAGTTTACATTCGTATATTACAATGTAAAAAACCGAGAAAGCCTGGGCAATTTGATATATTTTACCAAATAAGAAAAATGAATTGACAGGGTACTGTATTTCTTGAGCAATCATTGAAAGAACCGATTTTTTAACCATGGAAACATAGGAAAGTCATAGAACGCCACCAAGTAGAAGAAATAGAGACAAAAAACCATTTACTATCGTTATCATCCTATATAATGAAGAACACTTACCTACAATATGAAGATTCCACAATCAATGAACAAGGATGTTAGCCGAAGTGTTACTATTTTTAAGGAAACACGGACTTAACTTTATGATGATTGTCAAAAGGAAAACACTCTACGGCTGAATTAAACTGGTACGGCAAGGACATTAAATATATGTTTTCATAAAAGTCAAGGGATTTTAAAATAATATGACTAGGCCTACATCCAAGAAACCTTAATAAACTCTCACTGAAGGATGTGCATTATTCACGTTTAAGGGAAACGAAAAACCGTCTGAACAACATCAGGCCATTCAATTCTGAATTTTTTCAGGTAAACATAACTTACGTTAGGCCTATACTGTAACAGTACCTAGTCAAATTAAGTTAATGCCAATTGAATTGGGTGAAAATTTATATAAATTAGACATTTATCCAATAGGCCTGGGCTACAATATTTATACAAAATAATCATCAATGATAGGCCTATCGCCTATTAGCAAGTTCTTTGTAAATTAGGATTGAATCGATACACTAAGCCAAGATAAATCTAACGAGGCCATGTTATCATGTAAGCCTAATCCTAATCAAGTCAGTAAAACAGATTGTTAAGCTATAGGCTAGGCCTAAATGAATCTTAAAGGCAAGTAGCCTAGGTAATAGATTTATAGGTAATAGGCCTAGGTCTAAACTAAAGTTAGTTGAACACAGAACTTATTTCGTTTTAGAATAAGCAATGTAGGCCTAATCATAGAATAGACAATATATTCCTCCATGTTTGCCAATAAGAGTCGTTATAGCAGCAGAGAAAGGTTGATTGCTAGGCCTAGTCGAGCATTCACCAAAGTGGAAGACTAGGCCTAGTCTATAAGCCTACCTTGCGTGGAGACTGAGTATCTGATATGTATAATATTAATTTATTATCGTCAACATTAATTTAAATGATTAAAAACTACAATTATTACTTTATTCTTTAAGACAAAAAATCAACTAAGGGTAAACACAACAATAAACGTAAACGAAACGAACAAACAGTCGAACAACAGTTGAACAGTCCTCTCTCCTCTGCTGCAGCTGAACGTCCTGGTCCGGTCCTGGTCCCTGGAGTCGGAGTCAGTCAGTTCGAGTTCAGTTCAGTGGAGTCGTGTCGTGAGTCAGAGTTTGGCTGGGGTGTGGCTGGCAGTGTTGCCACCCTGGACCTGTGAAAATTCCCCATCTGGCTAAGAAAAAAATCCCCATTTTATCCCCAGCTAAATAAAAAATCCTCCAATAATCCGCCAAGTCATAACAATCTATAGAAAGTCCCCAATTTTCCTCCATCCATCCTCCTGATTCTACAAAAATCCCATTTAACTACCAAATATCCCGAATTCATACCTATCTATGCCATATAGTGTGTGGGTAAAAATTCACTCTCCGTGAGTATATTATACTTGTGACATACATACATTATTTATTCACTCCATATTAAATGTGCTGACGAGGAAAAATCCTCATTTTAACCCCAGGACCCCCAACTAAAGCAAAATCCTCCAATTATCCGCCAAGCCATAAAAATCTAAAGAAAATCCCCAACTCCTCCTCCATCCAACCGTCAAACTCTACAAAAATCCCCTTTTAATTACCGGCGGTAACATGGTACCAATGATTATAATATATTATTTTAACGTACATACATTTATTCACTCCATATGAAATGTATAGTAACTACTACAGTACTATATAAAAGTAGGTACAAAGGATTGGGACTGATAACATTTTCAGATGTCCTTCTTAAATGATTTCCCCTCACTTAAAGGTTGTTCTATTGATCACTGACTTTCTACTCCTCATTCTTAGTTTTATATCATACATTTATAACAGTTAGTTTATATTTACAAAATGAGTCATGTTGTATATTCGCACTAAATGTCTGAACAATTTATAACAAACAGTTTGCATAATCTATTTTGCCATTACGTGGTTTTATTAAATTCTTTTTTAGCTATATTAACCTTATTCCTGACTCAAAATCAAAATTCTCCAATAAATTCGATAAAATCCCAATAATCCGCCAAAAATCCTCCACCAAAAAAATCCCCAAGGCTTAGAAAAATCCCCAGTTTGGCGAGAAATCCCCAAAAACGGCAACACTGGTGGCTGGGGTGGGGTTCTCGTTCTCGACGTTCTCGACTCGAATACTGGCCTATCCCAACCAGTGCTGCCACCGCCACTTGTTGAAATTAAATGAAACTTAATTTGCTATACATTTTTGGTCCCACAGGTGCGTTACATAAGAGTGTACTTTGACACTCGCCGTTTACGTCAATAATGCTCAAACATTGTTATATTATATATGGAAATGAAGCTAAATTTAAAGTCCTACATGTTTGCTAAAATGTAAAATCTGCATTTCCTCATGATGAAAACCCCGAAAAAGTGAGAACATGTCTAAATTTTTTAAAATATTTTAAAATTTAATTTTGTTCACTATTAAAATCATATTACTATTATTTAAGTATTTTATTTAGATCATATTACTATTATCATAAGTGTAAACAATTTAAATATAACATAACACTATACATGCAGCATGCGGATCAGCAGAGCTGAATGGATGGCGATACCATACCTACCTCTAACCTCTCTATTTTCTTTAAGCAGAGGCTATTCACGGCCGCCTATTGGCAACGTCGCAAGTGGTGTTGTTCAGTGACAGACGTCCCATAAGATACCATGGCAGACAGGTGACATCAGTTCATTAATTCACACTTTATTGATTTAAATTTATGAACATAAATTTATTAACATATTGAAAATAAAACATTCAGAATTGAAAACCGAAACAAAATGAATTAAAATCTATATCTGTACATTTTTAAGCGGAGTCAATATTGTCATAGTGAAGTAACCACTATTTCGTAAATACACAAATACAATTAGCTGCTTCCAACCAAAACAGCTGTTACAACACCACTTGCGACGTTGCCAGTTCGAAGGCCGCGGCCTGGAGTTAAAGGCGGCCGGGGGTTATTCGCCTAATAAGGGGAGCGAGCTGGTCTAGTGGTTAGAGCGCCGGGTTCCCGGGGTCCCGGGCTCAAATCCCACCAAATCACCAATGGATTTATCTAAGTGATAATGCCGTAACTCGTAACCTCTAGGTCTAGCCTGAAGTAATGTGAAAAACAATTCCGGGATCGTGCACGGCCGCCAAACTCTAGGCCGCGGCCTGTGGTTAAAAGTGGCCGTGGCTCGTGCCTAGCGTCATAGTAAAAAAAATGCCTAATAATGGTTCCAAATGGCACCACATTCAGTAGTACTGTATCTCTAACCCTAATGGATGGAATAAACTTCACATTTTCTGCCCGCAACTTAAATATTGATTATGAAATGAGACTGTTCTAAACGGCATATTGATGGTCCGTAGATCAATGACGTACTTAATTATAAAATTAAGAAAAATAAAATTATTTTTTTTAATTTTTTAATTATAAAACTATAAACTGTCAGAAACCTAACCAAACTTTGATGATGAAAAATTGAATGAATGTTTACTAATCGAAAAATAGTTCTGTTCATAAAATAAAATTATAAATGCCTCAAATTCTAACAAAAGATGTAATCGCATTCTAAGCAAAATCTTTGACAAAATGTGTCACCGCTAGGATTCGATCCAGCTACCTTCGGTTTACAAGCCTGATACGATACGCAATCCACTTGTCCACCAAAGCCAATGGTTACCTGGTTACTCACTGTATCGTTGCGGTAATGGTGTTCGAGAGCCAATAGAATTGTGGAATTTTACAATAGGAAAATCCCTGAACCAGCTCCTCAACTAGTGCTAGATGGGGTTGCACTCACTTCTTGTGAAAAAGTAAAATATCTTGGCCTGCACATAACTGAAAATCTTTAGTGGGATGAACATATTAATTTAATAGCTCCAAGATTAAGATCTGTAATCAATTTAATTACTAGGCTCCAGAAATTGGTCCATACTGACATTTTGTTAAAAGTATATAATGGATGTTTTCACAGTATAATATCTTATGGAATAGTGTTCTTTGGGGTGGTAGTACCATGGTCAATAGGATCTTTCTCCTCCAGAAACGAATTATTAGGGGAATGTGTGGTGCTCAGCTCAACTCTTGCTCACATTATGCCACTGTTCAAGGGCCTTGGAATGTTAACCCTCCCATCACTGTCTATTTTTAAATTTGTCATATTGGTGAGGAATAATCCGAACATCTTTTGTACAAACAATCTGGTCCATCAGTACAACACGAGAAGAGCTAACTAAGTACATGTACCTCAAGTTAATTCAAATTTGGCCTGCAAGAGCCCATATTTTAGTAGCGTCAAGGTCTACAACTCACTACCAAGGATCAAAATTGAAGAGTAAAATGTCAATAAATTTATGAAGATGTTAAAAGAATATTTATGTGAATATTTATTTTAAAGTGGAAGATCTGATCAATTAGGCCTATTATGTGTTTTCTACCAATTTTGACGACCACGTCGCAGGAGCGATGCTAGTGGGACATAATCAAGTAAGTAAGTAAGATTCATGCCGTTATTAATGCACCATAGTCACTGATGCTATTTAGGGATCTCTGAAGATTATCTTGATCCAACACACAGTGTATAATCTTGCCAATATCGTTTATAAACAGATTAAAGAGAATATGAGCCAAATCTGAACCTTGTGGAACTCCAGATGGAGATGGCACAGGAAAAGGCTGAGATATGGCACCATCATATTTAACCATTAGTTGTCTTCCAGTAAGGTAACTTTCTAGTAGTGTCAGCAGGTCCATAGAGAGCTTGGCAACTAAAAGACGATGGTTGACTTTGTCAAAGGCTTTTGAAAAGTCCAAGTAGACACAATCAACTTGGTTCGATGCGGTAAGGGTGATGGCCATAGTGAACTCTTGGAATACAAGAAGGTTGGAGACTGTAGATCGTCCGTGAAGAAAACCATGCTGCTCATCGACTATGTATTTCTTCAAGTGGAAGTAGAGGAAGTCCAGAAGTAAGCTCTCAAAAACCTTTGCCAGTGTAGAATGAATAACAATAGGTCTACAACAAACGTCTTTCCTTTTCCGACTCCAGAAGAGGGCAGTTAGGGCAGTCTTTGGTTTGAAAAGAAAAACATCTTGCAGGCAATACTTTATTTCATCACAAATTTTAACATTTCCCTCAATATACATTTTGGAAACTTTGATTCTCATAAAAAAAAACTTACACCAATACCAATCTTCACTTACACATTCCTATTCACTACGTAACAATTCTTATCTTAAATTGCCATCTCATTCAACTATACTTTTTTCAAGAGACACTTTCATTACAATGGCATTAAACTTTTTAATCTCCTCCCTCCCTCCCTTCAGCTGGAGTCGGACTTGAACAGCTTTAAAAGCTAATAAAAAAAAAATACTCTTGACCAAGGGTTACTACAGTGTTCGAGATTGTGTCGCTGATGGGTTTAGTTAGTTAGTTTTTTTTTTTTTTTTGAAAGAAGTAATTGGTATCTTATCTAACAGGGGCAGGTCGAGACCTTAAAGCACTTCATCCGAAATCGAATTATTGCGCACCCTAGTAATTGGTATAGTTTTATTGAAGCAACATTGTCTATTGTTTATTTTAATTTTAGTTCTACGCTATTAATTGACATGACCCATGCAAATTTTGTATTTGTTATTTTGGTTTAATAAATGAGTTATGAGTTATAGTTTATAACATTCGATCTGTCTCCGATGGGGACAACAAAGCCTTCTTTAAGAAAGTCGGGAAAGATACCCTGTCTAATCATGATATTGAAATAAACCACTAGTTAGGGAGCAAGAAAAAGAGCACAATATTTGAGAACTAGAGGCGGTATATTGTCAGGGCTAGCACTTTTGATGGGGTTGAGGATCATTTTAATCATGGATCGTCAGCGTGATCCTCATCATTAAGGTCCCGTAATAAGTCTGCTACACTGTACTTATTTCTCTTAAGCAAGAATTGACCGAACATAAAATCTTCGCTTCCGCCTCTGACTTCCTAAGATTAATGTGATAGCTGCCGCGAACAATAGGTGTCTTCGGCGCGACACTTCATTTTCGGTACGGAATGGGAATGAGAGAGAGAGAGAGAGAGAGAGAGAGAGAGAGAGAGAGAGAATGATTTATTTCCTGAAAGCATAATATGTACAAGGAAAGGTCAATACATCAAAATCTTAGCCTAAGCCTGCAACACACCATGCAGAGAATTGAAAAACAAAAACAAAACTTATTTATCATTACACATTGGCACTCATTGGCTAAAAAAACTTACTTACTTGGCCAGGTGAAATTTCAAAATACTCTTTGAATGAGTAAATCGGATTTGTCAACAGAAGAGATTCAATCCCCATTTTGAATTTTGCTTCCGGCAGGTTCCGAGCTGTACAAGGGAGTTTGTTAAAAAACTTATATCTCTGTATACAATAGCTAGATTGGACCTTTCTTAATCTAACATAGGGTACATTCAAGTCGTCCTTCCTCCTAGTATTGTGAGGGTGGATATCACTTCGGAGTTCGAGAGAGCCTGACTCCTGCTTAGTACACAGAAGAGATTGGTAAATATATAAGCTGTACACTGTCATAACGGATTCAGAAATAAAGATAGGTTTGCAGTGGTCTAGAAAATCAGCACCTGCCAAGATTCTGACTGCCGCCTTTTGGAGCGTCAAAACCCTCTCGACTCCCGGAGTGCCACCCCAAAGTCTTAAACCATAAAGAATTATGCTCTGAAAAAAGGCAAGGTAGGCAGTTCTTAGCCATTCAGTGGGTACAGAGTTCTTCAAGTTCCTGAGCAAGTGAATCACCCTGGAAAGTCTACTACATACAAAAGATATGTGACTATTCCAATCCAGCTTAGGATCCAACATTAGTCCAAGTAGTTTAACGCTTGTGACATCTTGCTTAAGCTGTCTAAGACTAAATATTATGGACTGAGTCTTACTCTCATTCAGGAAGAGAAAGTTAGCTCGGAACCACGCCGAGGCCATTTGGAGAGTCTGAGACATAGTGCCCTGCAGGACATTTAAGTTATCATTTACCCCAATTAGAGTAGTGTCATCAGCATAGCAAACAACCCCCTCTCCCAAATGCAAAGAAAGGTCATTTATCATTATGTTGAAAAGCAAGGGCCCAAGGACAGACCCCTGTGGGACGCCATGAGTTAAAGATTTGACAACAGAGGACTGACCATTTACAGAGACAAACTGTCTGCGCCCGCCCAAGTATGATCCCAGTAAGTCCAAACCCTTACCCCTAACTCCATAAAAATGGAGTTTGTCAAGCAAAATTTTGTGGTCCACGGTGTCAAAAGCCTTGCTGAGGTCACACATTGTGGCCCCAGCAAAGCCTCCCCTCTCAAATGATTTTAAAACAACCCCAGTCAGAACTTCAACTGCATCGATTGTGGAACGGCCTGATCTGAAACCATACTGGGCTGACACAAGCAGTCCATTACTTTCAAAATAAGGTAACATTTGATTCTTAATTATACCTTCAAAAATCTTACCAAACACAGGGAGAATAGATACAGGTCTAAAATTTTCAGGCACATTATGGTTCCCCTTTTTATGGACAGGGACTACTCTGGCTGTTTTTAGGACATCTGGAAAAACGCCCTCCTTGATACAAACATTGATACAATAGGTGAGTGGAACTAAAATATGATAAATCACATTCTTAATTAAGATTGCAGAGAGATCAAAAACATCCTTACTTTCATCTTATGTATAACAGATAGCACTTTCTCACAAGAGACAGGTTCAATGTTAAAAGAACATGTTGGTCTAGGATGCTGGGCTAGGAGGTTTACAGCGGGGGTTGGTGGAGTACCAATTGCATCCCGAGTCTGTTGGACAGAATTAATGAAGAAATCATTCAGCTCCTCAGCAGAAAGTCTAGTAGTTGGTTTTGCTTTTGCAGGGGCCCCCTCTTTTTTGATGACAGACCAAGCGGCAGCACAAGAATTTTGAGAGGACTCAATGAAATTAGCATTGTGTTCTTGTTTTGACCGTACTAAACTCACCTGGTAATCTTTCTTTATCGCTTGATACCTCCTCTTGGCTTCAAGGGTTTTTTCTTGTCTATAAATATCGTAAGAAAGAAGCAACCATCTTCTCAATATTACAATAGTCTCTGATTTCCACTCTGGAGCCAGTGGATGCTTTGTATTCTTAGGTCTAGACACTTTTTTAGGATAAGATTCTTGAAAGAGCAAAATAAATGTTCTTAAAAAATTACTAAAAATAACATTAGCATTACCCGCAAGTAAAATATTCCAATCAACTGAGTTGAGAGCAACTATAAAGTGATATGTTTTATCAAGAGTAATTGGTCGATAAGTCATAGCAATATAAGGATCTTTATTCTTGGACAGACGGATACCGAGACTAAACTTAATGCCATCATGGCTGTGCTACATTTTATAGCATATAGCACGAGCACCGGAATCACTAAAATTGTCTGCAACTTTTTTGTATAACAAAAGTTATATAGCAAAAGTTATATAACAATGTTATGTAGCAGGTTTTGCTACATAGTGTAAACTGTAAACCCAACTTAAATGGACTGGGTACAACAAAAGAACAGCTGTTTATTGTTTTCTGCTCTGCATTCTACCTACACTCTGCTGCAGCTGTGCAGCTTCTACTTGTTCTTGTTCTACCTACCTACACCTGTCACTTTGTGTGTGTCCCGTCGTCATGTTATGTTATGAGTGACTCAAACAAACCTAAAACAACAAAACAACAAAGTAAGTATGTTATCATCTAACCGTGATCATGGTAAGGCCAGTGCAATATTTTCGTGTTATACATTTTCACAACAAAAGAAACTGCTATATTTTATTCTGAACGTGTTGAATTAACTATGTACCTATAATTCAGATTCACCAAACTGAGATTTTTTGTAGCCTATGGCCAATCTGAAATGGCCTTATACAAGAATGTCAAATATTATTACAAATTGTGCTAATTCTCAAAATGCATTTTATTAGATAAGTCTAAGGTAAAATACTTATTTTTGTGTATTATAATATATAGCCTAGAAGGACTAAAACCTTATTGTCAATAGGCCTATGAGTTTTGGTTATCCACATAAGTTAGGCTATCCTTATTTTTAGAGGTGGATGTGCATCACCATAGGTACCCTTTTGGTAATTATTTAGATGAGGGTGACCAAGCGTTCTATAGTAAGTTATATATCATTAGAAACTAGATTTTTACCTGAAAATAATGGTGCAAAAATTTTTCTGCTGCCACAAAAACTGAATTTACTACGATTTTTTGAAGTTTATTTTAATGTTTTATATTAGGAACATTGAATCTGCACTGCAATGTTTACACTGTATAATCGAAGTTAATAGCACAATTCACATTTGTATTAATTGATTATATGCCATTTTAATGTAAATATTACCCTCACAACCCACACTTAGAAAGGTAGCCTAAGCTGGCTTAGCTTAGGTTTTGACCATTAACTGTTTTGTCCCATAAGTATTTTGTATTTAGTGTAGTGGCAGTTTTAATAAAATGAATAAACAACAAATTGACACTATTCTAACCTAACCTAACCTAACCAAACTTCTCGTACAGTTTAAAATTTTGTTTATAAGTTGAAAAAGACATGTGAGGTTGGTAGGTTGGATGTTATGTGGACTCGTGACTGTATTAAGTCCTTTGAAGGTAGGTTAGATTAGGGAAGTTAAAGTTTAGGTTATAATGAATCGAGTTGTTGATTTATATTATCTCCAGACTGTTTATGCACTTTGTAAAAAGTACTACAAACACATTAAATAATAATTTCAAAAATGCTGCGCATTTTTGAAATTGTTATTTATTCTGTTAGTAGTACTTTTAACAAAGTGCATAAACAGTCTGGAGATAATATAAATCAACAGCTTGATTCATTATAACCTAAACTTTACCTTCCTAATCTAACCTAAAACTTCAAAACACTTAATACAGTCACGAGTCCGCATAACACCCAACCTACCCACCTCACATGTCTAAATAAGAACTGAAGTAGTTCATAATCAACGCTCAGTTGAATTTATAAATGCCTCTACCTCCTTGTCCTCTTTGTCAATTCACAGTAAAGTTATGGCGACAGAGACCAGCCAACAAGATGCATTACAGTAATAAACTTTAAAAAATCGTAGTAAATTCAGTTTTTGTGGCAGCAGAAAAATTTTTGCACCATTATTTTCAGGTAAAAATCTAGTTTCCAATGATATATAACTTACTATAGAACGCTTGGTCACCCCCATCTAAACAATTTCCACCCTGTTTACGATTTTAATAAGCTTTTGCCCGGATAAACCTTGTTATGCATTGTAACTAATGGTAGGCTTAATTCAATTGTCATTTTAAATATAGGCTTTATTGTAAGTTATGCTTAATCCTCACACTTACCCAGAATTTAGGTCTTAGGCCTATGAAATAAACAACTGTGTTCAGTGGGCCTTCTGTGCGGGGGATCGCAGGCTAGGGGGGCCTTGACCGGGATTTTTTGGGAAATTTTACCAGGACAGAGGCCCGCGATTGTGTGACAGGCTCAGCCACACGGGCCCCCTATCATAACGATATTTATATGAGAATTATCATATGTTATTTTATGACGAAAATTTGTTAAAACCAGTAAGGTCACTAGGACAAGCAGTTTAACAGGTAAACAAAGACTATTATCAGTCTTGCAGGTTGCATCAACTTGTGGACTGTGTAAAGGCTATAATAGGGCCATATTTAGAACCAATGTGGCCTCCGGGCTAGGAGGATAAAACATTAATGTTAATCCTCCTAGCCCCCGGCGGGTCACAACAGAGAGGGCCCTCTATGATGATTTAACTAAATGAACTTGAAATTTTTTTACGATCAAATCGGCGAATTAACCTAGGTGGGTAGGGCACTAGCTAATAAATAATTCCATTCTTTCATTGATGCTAAGAAGGATTTTCATTTCAGGTAAATCAAATCAAATCAAATCATCTTTATTTTGCACAGAAAAAACAGTAGCCTATAATAGCGTCACAAGAATATATAATAAAACTAAATTATAAATGCTGTTAGAACTAAAACGTAACTGAACAGTATCTTAATTTGATCGGCAACTTAAAAAATCTTTCACAGTGTAGGGAGCTTGTTCTGAGAGTATGCGTTTGACCGCTCTCCCAAATTTGTCTTTGTCTTGCTCCACTTTCAGGGGTTCAGGCAACACATTGAAAAACCTAATTACTATTATAAAAGAGGTGTCTCTCAAAGAACCTTGTCCTATGCTTAGGTATTGTTTTTTGCCTGAGAGTGTACTGTATTGAATGGAACTGCGGTTGATACAGATGATAATTTCTTTTTAAAAACAATAGACAACTCAGTATGTATGAAATGAAATGAAAAATGTCTTTATTTAAGAGGCGAAGTTAGGCTACCTCCAACAACACAAAACATAACCTCTAAAACATAAATAAATATAAACTTATTCACTTATATAAGTAAATTTAAATAATCTACCTAAAGTAATACATTAAATGAGTAAACATGAAGAAATTAAGTTTAGTAATCCTAAAAAAATCCCATTCACACAAGCCGCCAACAACCCCTCACACCAGCGCCAGAGACTCACTCACGCAGCTGCTGCTTAATATAATAGATTTAATCTCTGCCCCAAACCTTGCACGGTTTCCTATGGATTTGATATGGTCAGGAAGAGAATTCCACATTCGAATTGCAGATACCAAGGATTTGTTAAAAACTGTTGACCGGTGAATTGGTGTAGATAAAAGGTCAGAGCCTCTACGAGTGGCACGGGTGCTGATGTCAGAAATAAAATGGAAGTTGTCTGATAAATAATTGGGAATTTTACTATTGATAATGGAGTGTAGAAGACGGAGGGTGTGAAATTCCCGAAGTTCATTTAACTTCATCAATGAAAGCAGGTTGAAATGGGGAGTTACATGGTCATATCGCCTAAGGCCAAACATGAATCTGATACAGGAATTCTGCGCTCGCTGAAGTCTACTAGAAACTTCATTGGCCATGTCACCACATCACAGTACGGTAGTTGAAATGAGTCAAGATGAGAGTGTTTACTAACATGATTTTCAAGTTCAGTGGAAGGTAGTCTGCAAAACGTTTGATGGTGTGAATAGCTCCAAAGACCCTGTTACAAGTGGACTTGGCTTGGTCAGACCAATTCAAATGTTTGTTCATTATGAGTCCTAAGTTTTTCCCTTTGTCGCAGTAGGTGAGATCCTTTCCGTCAAAGTTAAGTCGTGGTGCAGTGAGTAAGTTGATTTTAGTCATTAGTCTGGGGTAACCAACAATCATTGCTTGTGTTTTGTCAATGTTGAGTTTAAGTCCGTTGTTTGTGGCCCAGTGAGTTATTGATTCAATGTCAATGTTCATGAGTCGTACAGCAATATCCATTTTGTCTACATTAAAGTGGGAGTAAATCTGTAGGTCGTCAGCACACAAATGGTAGTGTGAGTTAGTGATATGTTCTGTAATGTCATTGATGTAAATTGAGAACAGTATTGGGCCAAGAACAGATCCTTGAGAAATGCCTCTAGTAATCTGCTTCTTGATAGAACATTTGTCACCGACTTTGACACACTGCTGACGATCAGATAAATAGGACTCAATCCAGTCAACACAGTTGTCAGAGAAACCAGCCAAGCCCAGTTTAAGGAGCAAAAGAGGATGGTATACCCAGTCAAACGCCTTTGAAAAGTCAAAGAGGGTTAAAATTGTGGCCTGTCTATTATCCATTGCACGGCGGATGTCATCTGTAATTTTTAACAAAGCAGTGGTTGTGCTATATTGAGCGCGAAACCCATATTGAAAATCGGATATAATTTTGTTCTCTTCCAAAAAAACAGAGAATTTATTATGCACTATTCTTTCAAGGCATTTAGAAAGGGCAGGAAGAATGCTGATTGGTCTATAGTCAGAAGGGCTATTGGGAGAGGAAATTTTCTGAAGTGGGCGAACAATGACAGATTTCCAGATGGAAGGGAAGGTAGAAGTTGCTAATGATCTGTTAAATATGGATGTTAGTACCGGGAGAGTAACTGGAAGAGTGTCTTTAATAAACCTGATAGGAATATCATCGGCGCCGACTGCGTTACTTGTCATCCTCAGAATTGCCCTGCGGACTTCAGATTCACTAACTGGGGAAAAGAAAAACTGATTTTCTGGCATATCTCAAGATGGTCTAGATGTGATATCGGCAACATAGTTAAAGGGACCTGCAGAACTTATAGGGATATTCACAAAAAAGTTGTTAATCGTGTCGAGACTAATAGTTATTTGATGTAAATTGTCAGATTTGCCGATACCAAGGTTCTTAACTTTGGTCCACAAGTTTTGGAGGATTGTTTCTGGGAGAAAGATGCATAATAATAGGCTACCTAGCTTTTGAGTTTCTGATCTGTTGTTGGGTTTGATTCCTGAGCCTTTTGTAACAGGCCCAGTCATTAGGGAGCTTGGTGCGCTTGGCTTTACGAAATGCAGCATCTCTATTTTTTTGAAGTTGTCTAATAAAATCATTTATCCAAGGAGCAGGTGGCTTCGAAACTCTTTTAGATACAATTGGACAGTGTTTATTATGAAGATTAGAAATGAGGGAAGTAAAATGTTCAACCATTGGCATCAGGATCATTAGTAACCACATCCCACGGTAAGGTAGAAGCGTCTAAAAGCAGAGCAATGAGGTTAAGATTTCAATAGGTAGTCTCTGTATTTGATAACATTTGGGCTA